CTCTCGGCGTGCACCGACACGTAGCTCGACAGCGCGCGCTCGCCCACCCGCCGCTCCACCAGCGAGTAGGACACCAGCGCGTTCTCCTGCGCGTCCGCGTCGTGCGCAGACACCGTGAAGATGTGGCTGCCGGGCGGGTTGTTCTCCTTCACGAACACCGTGTACTCGGGCTGCTCGAAGGCGGGCGCGTTGTCGTTCACGTCGGCCACCTCCACGAATACACTGGCTGTGGCCGACAGAGAAGGCGATCCGCCGTCCTGTGCTGTCACCACCAGCTCATAGGTCGACCTGCTCTCTCGGTCCAAGGAACTGTCCAGCACGAGAGAGTAGTAATTCTTGAAAGTGGACAGCAGTTTGAAGGGGACAAGAGGCGTTAGAGAGCAGGTTACCTGCCCATTTACACCGGAGTCGCGGTCGGACACGCTGATCAGGGCGATGACGGTGCCAAGCGGAGCGTCTTCTGATACGGGTAGAGATAATGATTTGATAACCAGTTCAGGTGCATTGTCATTGGCATCCACAATTTCCAATAGAACAGTGCAGTGGTCTGTCATTGGGGGAGTTCCTTTATCCGTTGCTTCTACTTGGATTTCATATGACTTAGTTTCCTCAAAATCTATGTTACCTTTTACACTCATGTGGCCACTGACCGGATCTAAGTGGAATTTCGACAGAATATCTGCTGATGTGTCTGAATTGAAAGAATAGACAATGTCCTTATTTATGCCTTCATCCAAATCAGAGGCATTAACAATCACTACCAGGGTACCATTTGGTGCATTTTCGAATAATCTCACTTTGTAGACCAAATTCTCAAACGCTGGGGCGTTGTCGTTTACGTCTAGCACAGTGATTTTCAGTTGAGTTGTGCCAGTGAGCTCTGGTTTCCCACCATCAACTGCCGTTATTACTAAATGATGCTCAGGAGTTTCTTCTCGATTCAAATATTTTTTCAACACAAGTCCAAGAGATTTCATTTCCTCATCATTTCTTTTGATATCCAAGGTAAAATACTCATTAGAGTTAAGCCCATAGGTCAACAGAGAATTCGTTCCAATATCTTCATCTGATGCACCCTCTAGTGGAAACCGAGAACCAGGCGGCCTGGATTCGTAAATAAACAGATTTTTTACTGCCGTTGGAAAAATCGGCGCGTTGTCGTTAATGTCCTTCACCTCCACCTCCACGTGGAAAACCTGCAGCGGCTTCTCCACGATCACCTCCAGGTGGACGCCGCACACCGC